TTTAACTGTTTTCCAATGTTTGAACTATTTTTGCATGGACTAAAGTACAAAGCAGTGAAAATCATTGATTGGCAATCATTCGGTAGGCTGAACTGCATAAAACGCATGATCGCACCGGCTAGTCTGGTGCGCGTTGCTATTTAAATTCCTTTTCACCTTTTAAAATTATAGCCAATTTTCTTACAGAAATAAATTTCATTTTATTTATTTTATCATCACCACAATTATCGAACTTATAAGGCCCAGCTATGGTACTGAACAGGAATGTTTACGACTTGACGAGTGGTCCAGTTCATCGAAATTTTTAACATAATTTTATATTTTTTCTATATTTAATAATTGTCAATAGGAACCAAAAAAACCGCCGCAGATAGACCGGTTTTCGTCAGTGGCGGATCGAAACATCGAATTTAGCCTGAGACTAGAGCTACTTGTTACTGCATCAGGCTCATTAGCTAAGACAAGTGAAATACATTTGAAAATATTGCTGAAAAGTTCGGTAACCTTGATGAGATGACGTTTGGAGGTTGTTCTTTCGAGCACTCGCACAGCTTCGCCAGTGTTTTCATTGAACAGACGGTAGGCGATGAGGTTATCATGGACAGCCAGGATTCGGCCGTTGTAGCACTCCTCGCTGGCCCATTTGTACTCGCTGAGCACGCTGGTGTGTACGCGTGACGAGTCCCTGTCACGTCTGGGCGCCTCCTCCGCCTGCGTCTCCAGGCTCAGCACAACGTAAGTGCCACATGAGAAGTGAATGATCGCATCGGAGCCATTCAGTGCACTGAAACACACACACACACACCCTGAGACTTCAAAACCCACTGAGAGTGCGCGAGTGGCCCGGCCAAATGAGCGCAGATGTAGTAGTAGCTGTTTGCGCGTAAACAAAGCAGAGCTACGATGGAGGACTCACTGCTTTTCGAGCGTGGATGTTGGCGAAATCTCGTCGCAGTGCAGCAGGGAGAGCAGCATCTGCTGCTGCTGCTGCTGCTGCAGCTGCTGTTGCTCGGTCGCCATCATTCTGCAGCAGCTTATACGTAGATTGCAGATGAAGAACACGAAGCGCGTGCTGCAAAATTATACAGCAAAGTGAAAAATGCACACCCACAAACAACAAAATCCAAACTCGACCGAACACCGCGATAAACCCGAAAAATATACGCCGATAGGAGTGGTAAACTGGGAAAGGTACCTGCTCAGCGACATTTCGATTTTAAAGGACGAACCCCAGAAGTCCCCTCCCCGCCCCCGAAAATGACCCGTGATACCGCGGCCATTCCTCAACCATACGATTATCAGCTCCTGAAACGGGACATTCTCAAAAGTTTCGGGATAACCCAGCAGAAAATACAGTGATTTTTTTAGAGTAAAGAGACAAAAAAAGACTGAAAATGGAAATGGAGCAATAAGTGACAGGCGAAGGGAAGCAGCAGCACACGGGGCAAGGGAGGATGTCAAGGTCACTGACGGCCTTTACAATTTGCCTCGGTCACTACAATGTGTCTCAGAAAAAATGCCCACAAACTACGATAAAAGATTAGCCAAGGAAACCATAAGCAGCTTCTCTTCCGACCCTCTTAAAATTTCAGCTTTCCAGCTTTTCTGGTTACCGAGTTAGCAATTTTCCCGCCAAATTTTTCGTATGACCGCACGTGTGAACTACGAACACCTAGGAGCTGAACTTGAAATCTTTAGCTGACACTTGGACAGAGAATATCCATGCAAAGCCTCAGCTTTCTATACTGGCAACAACCGACCATCAGTCTGGAACAACGTGGAAAAATCGCCAGCCGCAGGGATGGTCATTAAGGGTCAGCAACTGTCCCAGGCAAGCTCTGATCATTACTCCCTGCAGAGAGTGTGGTCAATGCAGGGCACGGCACTCGCTGAGCGAATCGGAGCAGTGGCCAGTCGCCGCTGATCTCATTCGATAAATCTGGCAGATCATCTACTGCGCACATTTCGACAAAAAAACCTCGGTGAGGAGACGAGAGCTGGTTGTGGACAAGGCTAGCGAGCACCAGTTTACAGGTGAGAAACACGAAGCAACTCAACACGGAAATGCGCTAACCAATGACCCTTGAGGGTCAGACCATATGGCCAAAGAACGAATGCATTTAGAGCTTGCTTCTCAAGCCATAGGCGGATCCAATACGGACTCCTGGAGGGGTGGGGAGGGGCGCAACGGGGATGGGAGGAAAACCCCGCTCCCATTCTGGAACTATGCAAAAACTAGGAACAGAGTTGTAACACACTGCTACTTAGAGTTACTTTAGTTTTGTTTATGAACAGACCCGGGCTTTTGCAGCGCCGGTGTTTGTACCGTCGAAAGGCTCTTCGACCTTTCTCCCCTCTCTTCTCGTCCCTCCCTCTCTCCTGAATTCGTCTATGTCTCAAGCAATCCACTGGCAAAGCGGTCAGTTCAAAAGTCCGCTACCAGTGTTGCAAGCATTACCATACGTTTTCCTTCAGTAAAAAAATTCAGGATGTGAGATGCACCGTAGTACACTTTCGACATTCGATCGCAATTTCTCACTTTCTCTTGATTATGCCAAAAATCAAAGATAAGCCTTTCACAGACAGTGAATGTACCATCCCAACATTCACTTTCTGCGAGAGGCGAAAGCACTCGAAAATAGCTCATGTGGTAGCACATGCCAATAGCAACCGCCCGCCGGTAAGGCTGTCGATAGCTCTTTCTTTCGAGGAATGCCTACGAAGCAAGCTGCTGGTGGCAGCAAGCTCAGCTCTTTAGCGTATGCCAGTACCAATTTACCACCGAAACGAATCGCAGAGGGATTAGTTGCCGAACTGTACCATACGCGCTTGGGCAAATGCCTGAGTATTCTTCACAGTCTTTTAGCATACTCTCAAACAACTGACTCGTGTTTACCTTCTTACTATCGCGTCACTGGAACGGTCACCCGACGTGACCAAACGAGACGATGCCCATGGATACCAGCTGGACAGATGCACCTCTGTATAGAAACGTAATCCCCATCCATCCCCTCCCCCTCCCCTTTCATACAAAATACCGTTGAAAACCATCGGAAATAATGCGCTGTGAATTTTTCACAGCAAAACAGGGATCCATCCCCCTCCCTGGCACCCTCTTCTCCCGCAACGCTATATCAGATGTTCCCAGGATACCCTCAGTGCAAAGAAATCCCACCGTACCAGGAAAAAAATCGCCACCATTTTAAAGTGGCGCATGTGCTTAGCACGTGGATTCGGTTCGGCCGTGCACGTGTGTTCGCTTGCACTGTATACGTTCACAGTAAATTTGGCTCTGCGAAGAAAATTGGTGCCTTCTGCAGCGCGTGGTCTCTAAACATTGTGACGGTCTACGGTCTTCTCTTCCATCGAGTTTTGTGTGGATGTTACAGGCGTTACTAGTTCTATTTTTATGCATTTTGTGCTGTGTAACAGCGTTACAAAACGCATATTGTCACGAGGTTGTCTCTGTGTGTG